GTGTTGTTTTTCGTTTATTGTGATCGAGACTAGCTTTATGGACAATGCCTAGAAATTGTGTAAATAGTGCGAACAGTTTTTGTTTTGTGTGCGGAGAGCTAGCTTTTAAATCGCAAAATCGTGCTTTTAGTCCCCTTGTGTTGAAAGCATTCGAAGCTTATTTTGTAATTGAAGTTGGCGACCAAGATAAACTATGGGCTTCTCACATATGTTGCAAGACTTGTGTAACGTTGTTAACAGATTGGTTAAGAGGCGACAATCGTAAAATTCCCTTTGCGGTACCAATGGTTTGGAGATAACCGAGACCATACTACTGATTGCTATTTTTGCCTCACAATTATTAAATGTATTGAACCAAAATCGAAACATACTGTTAAGTATTTTAATTTACCATCAGCTTTGCGGCCCGTTAAGCATAGTGATGAACTTTCTGTCCCAGTTCCACCAGAATCTTGGTCTTTGGATGAAAAAGTCGAATCCACCGATTCTGAAAGTGATGGTACAGAAAGCGTACAAATTTCTGAACCTCCGTTTGACCTGCTAGGATGTTCAACAGCGCCGCATTTGATCACACAGGGCGAAGTTAATCATTTAGTTCGAAAATTAAATCTGTTAAAATCCCAATCGGAACTTTTAGCGTCAAGATTAAATGGATGGATTCTTCTTCACGGTGATGTTAACATTACTTTTTACCGAAAACGGCAACAAGAAAGGGAGTTGATTGATATATTGCTCCGATGTCAACAATTTGTTTGACGCGTTAGGACAGAAACATTATCCAAATGATTGGCGCCTGTTCATTGATTCCTCTAAGCTTAGTTTAAAAGCGGTAGAATCATATGAAAATGTGCGAGTTCTGTTAGAGCATATCCGTTATAATGAATATGGATGGGCCATATGTGCAGATTTAAAGGTAATATCCCTTCTGCTAACCAAATATTGTTGTGTTCTTTGTGAATGGGACGGTCGTGCGCGAGGTCGTCATTATGAACAGAAGGAGTGGCCACTACGGCAGGTATTAACTCCGGGCCCCAGAAACATTGCTGATGAATCACTAGTTGATCCCAAAAACGAGTTGAATATTAAGTTGGGACTTCTTAAAATTTTTGTGAAAGCTATGGATCCAAATGGAAGAGGGTTTCTGCATTTAAAACAAACATTTCCGAGACTTCCAAGACATTTCTGCTAAGGAAAAACGGTATCAAGTCAAATGGAGTGTCAATTTGCTTGCTGATTATTGCTGGGCATTGTAAAGAGATACTTCAGGAGCAACATATCGCCGTAAAACATCGACAACAACATTCTGAGATTAATGTTTATTCGAGTGTTTATTAGTACTCTTACACACATATCCTTATATTTTACGAGTATAAGCAGCAAATAAAATGCCTTTATCAAAAATTCATAACATATACATTGTTTCTTATCAATTATTTTCAATATTTTCTAACTAATTTGCATTAACTTAATTGAATTGCTCATTTGATGTGTAGATGGCAACAGGCTGTGTATGAGTTTGGGTGATGGCTAGTAGGTAATGATGTATGATATGAAATGTTTCTTGGTGGAACAACTTGAGAAAAGTATTAACTGTATTAACTCAAGCACACTCAGTGGAAAGTATCTCAGATCAAGTGACAGCCAAGTGATCTACAAGAACACACACCATCAACTTTCCAAACAAGGCTTGGGTGGTTGTAATGAAGCAGCTATTCCAGTAAATAATTGTTTACTTTATATTACTTCTGTTTTGTGATACATTTATCAGATAATTTTGTAGCATTTTTCTAAGAGAAAATGCTGTACGGTTTGTTCGTACAGTAGTCGGTAACTCGTCCGTGACTATCAAAATCAGAATCATTACCTGTTCGTACAGTTTCTGACTGTTTGCCAACTGCTAATCCGCTGTTCGTACATAACCTTCTAACAGATCAGAGGACACCAGTCAACCAGTGACAGATATCAGAGTGTGTGTCGAAACTATCTTGAGGACTAAAATTGCTTCGCAAAAGGCATTTAATGATCGATTACTCTTCTGTAGTTGAGGGTCTGGGATACCTTCACATCGACGGGCCGTTGGAGATCTAGCTACGCCAGCCGGATTTGCTCCTCAGAGCTCTCTCCCATGGTGTCGCCGCGCCATGTGCCTGCCTGTCTTTGGCCTCCCATCGTAACCGTGTCGAACTTCGTACACCTAGAACTGACCGATAAGACCGCTCCTTTGTCCCGAGGGTGTCAAGAATGTGTAACAATACATTAGGAGCTTTTCCCAGTTCTACTAACTTTAGGCAATTCAAAAATGGAAATAACAAACTTTCTTTAAACTCCTCAAAGCAGCCGCGGTACAATGCCATATAGGCTTCACTGCGCGACTGCTTCGGTGTAAAAAAACTGAGCGATACACCCAGAATATGAAGACCTTGAGGATCTACTGAAGGAGAGAAAGAAACCCAAAAACCTGAATTTTGTGGAGAACAGTGCCACAATTCAACAGCAACTTTCGGGTGAGCAAGTGGCAGATAAAATATTTTGTTTATTGACCCGGTAATGGGAAAATGAAGATTATGAATACAGCATGAAACATCCGAACAATAGTGGACCTAACTTTGAATAATTGATAATTTTTGTTATCACTAATCTTTTGAAAAATTTTGTTACAGTTGCAAAATGCGAAATTACGCGATTTAAGTATGTAATTTCGTAGTCTCAGTTCTTCTTGTCCATGTTGAGAACACTGTGAAACATATAGCTATGTAAGCAGATCTGGTTAATTTTATTGTAGTTATGTTGAGCCGTTTTAGCTTTTTAGTGTATAGCAGCACCCTTTGTTATTCAAAGACGTTATTAAATCCTTGTACTATTTTGCTTCTTTCTTCTAGTGAGAGTCTGCATATACAAGGCAATTCAAATTCGGCGCTCACCATCGGGATCTTGGAAACTGTGAGAGATACGAAGTCAACTAAATGGGGGTAGTCAACGAAATGACACTTAGAAAGTTTAAAAATTCGAAGTACTTCCGCAGAGTGACGGAAAAACTGAATTTCCCAAAATCGTTTTGATTTTTTCCTGACTATTTATATTGGGATCTTAAAATAAATTACACATCAACATTGCCACGTTTTCTCCTCTTCAAGAAAGCATAATCAGAGTTTTTATATGACGGTTCGTCTCTTGACCTCCAGCATCACCTTTATTATCTCTTTAGGACAGAGTTTTTAATTTTGATCCAAAAAATGCATAGACGTTGCCAAACCTTGATTACTTAAAAAAAGAATTTCTTAAGTAGGACTTGAAATTATCAGATATTTGTTTCGCTCACCAAAATGGCTTTATTTTTTTCCTGACTTTATTTGAGACTTCCATCATCAACTTTGCTTTTTCAAACGGACGCTATATTGGAATTTTGTACATTTAAATGGACTTTTCAGCTCCAAATTCAGTGATGTATTTCGTTAGTTGACCATAAATTTATTGTTGAATGAAAATTATAAGGAATTGAAAAGATATGGTGAAATCTGAACACGAAATGAAAATTTTATTGATGGTAATATAACAATAATAACCCTAAATAACCAGAGGTCTTCACAGGCTTCCAAACTCTGTTGCTATGCAAACAAATGAAATCTGATAATTTCAAAGCCTACCTAGGAACTTCTGGAATAACTAAGGTTTTGCAATGTCAACGTATAACATATTTTACATTTGTGAAATCTGAATAAAAATTCTATCCATGTGTGTAAAAATCCATATGTCGTCTACAAGAAAAAATTAAGGTAATGATAATTGCTCTGTCTTGAAGAGGAGAAAATGTGGAAGAGCTGATGTGCAACTTAGTTTGAAATTTCACCACAAATAAAGTCAGAAGATTAAAACCATTTTGGAAAATTTAGTTTTTTACGACTCTTTCCGGAAGTACGATTAACTTCAAAACCTTCTAAGCGACATTTTGCTGATTATCTGAATACGCAACTTTGCCCCTATTTTAGCGACTTAGTATCACTTAGAGTTTCCGACATCCCAATGGTGAGGGTCGAATTTAAATACCCTATATAGACAAATATTTTTTTCACCCCAGCACTCCCTCTCCGTTGGCGCCCGTGAAAGAAAGCTGTATCACAAAATCTCCAGTATTCGTTATTTTGTTTTTCTTTTCATCAGCTTTGGGCTGGACTTGCGCAGCTATAATATATAAATACTGTTTGTGCATACGCTTGAAGACTGGGCGACAACGGAACAGGAACAAAAACACTACTATCCGAGTTTCACTAAAAGTTATTCACAATACTTTGTACATTTCTCACGCATCACTGTAGACGTTTATTTAAAATTCTTACTATTCCTTCTTCAAGTTGTCATTCGATGCGTCGAATCATATTCGAATTTATTGTTATACTTTCTACTACTACTAAATCTACTTGAGATTTTTGAGTGCTGTTATTTTTTCTAGAAAGTGTCCCATGTTTTCCTCTCTACAGGAAAATTCGGGCACATTCGGGCAGTTGGACGATAAATCCTAGATCATTATGATTTACAGCAAGTGAACATACTCCAACTTTTCCAAAATTGTCTACTTCATTGTGAAAAAAATGTACACTCGAATAATAATTATTGTACTTGATTTCGAGCTCTGACAATTTAATGGCAAATTATGTGCTGACTAATTTGACAGTCATCAAACAGTCAGAAGTTTCTGTACGAACAGCGGAATAGTTGTCGGTAATCAGTCTTAGCTCCCTCAGCCAACTCGTAACGTTCTCTTGTACGGAATCTATACAGTCAGAGACTATCAGTTTGCTGATCGTCAGCAAACAGGCTGCACGAACAAACCAACAGACAATTGACAATTGTTATATTTCGTATGTGTAATGATCTTATGTTTGTGTGTATGTGTTATGCCAATGCGATTTCGTTTTATTGTAATCAGAAAGTAAAGATAATATGTTTTGATTTTCTATTTGAGCTTTCTCTTATTTTCGATTAAATGTTATTTCTTGTTACAGATAAAGTTTTCGTCACCGTAATTTATTACTCTGGAGCTGCCACATTGAAGCACGAGTTTGAGAATTTGTCAGTGAAATACCTTCGCACCAAATTGGACAGAGGAAGACTGAAATATTAGTAAGCATTGCCTGTATATGAGGATATGGAATCAACTGCCGATATTCGAATGATAGTTCAAGTTGTTCGACCTCATCTACCAAAAACTTCGTATGTTATATTTGGGACCATCTGCAGGTGAGACTGCGGGTTTCATTGCTTTTACTGGTTGTGCATTTGCTTAAAATTTTTTATTGGACGACGTTTCGGTCCCAAGGGTGAACTTCATCTAGTTTAATTGAAATTTATTGACAGTATATTTTATCTGTCTTCCAAGTGTCCCTGCGTTTGTTTTTTCCATTTATCTCCACTTCACTAGTACCAGGCGGTGATGGCCATGAGGTAATCACTGTGTGTGGTCAGTGCTACCAATTTTTGCTATAATCCCAATGTCGAATTTTCGACAGGATATACGTCCGCGTATAAGATAAGAAATGTTTCTGGGTGAAACAACTTGAGAAGCGTGCGCAAATTCTCTAGTAATTCAAGAATAGATACAGTGGAAAGTATCTCATATGGAGATGCAGTGAAGTGATCTACAAAAACAAAAAGAAAATATAGGCCACAACACACCATCAACTTTTGTCTTTTCTGATGACCAAGAAACCTTTCCAAACAAGGCATGGCTGGTTGTAACGAAGCAGCTATTCCAGTAGTTAATTGTTTACATTATACTACTTCTGTTTTGTGTTTCATTCATCAGACAATGGTTATATATTCGTTGGTGTTTGTGTTGAATTTCTGATTGTGTGTATGTCTTATGCCAAAGCAATTACGTTTTATTGTAATCAGAAAGTAAAGAAATATTGTTTTGATTTTCTATTTCAGCTTTCTCTTATTTCCTATTAAATTTCTTTTCTTGTTACAGATATGGTGTCCGCGAAGTTAGTGCTCAAGGCGGCAAAGATTTCGTCACCGTAACATATCACCTTAAGGCTCACATCGAAACAGAAGTTTTTGAATTTGTCGGTGCGACACCTTCGCACCAAACTAGACAAAGATGAAGACCTTGAATTATTATAAAGTATTGTCTGTAGGTGTAAGTTTGATTTACTGCCTGAAGAGATGAAATCAGCAGCCGATATTTGAATGGTTGTTCAATGTTTTCGACCTCATCTACCAAAAACTTCATATGTTATATATGGAACAACCTATAGGTGGTGTTACCGGTTTCATTGCGTGTCCTGGTAGTGCATTTTCGAGAGACAATATATCTTGAATATGATTGTCTGGCCAATCAAAACGACACATATGTAAAATTCTTTCTTGGACAACCATTCGGTTCCAACGGTGACCATCATCGACTTTAATTGAAATTTATTGGCAGTATATTTTATTAATCTTTTTTCCAGTTTCACATTACTTTACAGTGTGTTTGTTCTATTACAATAGTCCGAAAGGTCCTGTAACATGCTAAGATTCCGCGAAGCAATCATTGTAATTTTAGGATGGTTCTGCGCAAAACTAGCTGAGCCCAGGACTGCTTGTGTTAGGCATTCCCGTCCCCAAAAGGACGTCCAGCTTTCTAAATCGATAAGCGAGCATAAGGTCGTTTTCAATGTACCAGTCACGTCACACTCCCCCATCGTCCCGAACATGCCAAGTCCAACGAAAACGTGAAGACAAAACCAGAACTGTATTCCTAACACATTGGTTAGTTGTTATGTAATCTTCGACTAAAATGCTGCACGTGATGTGCATTTATGGATCTGAATAATATAAGACGCAACAGTTTGGCCGTGAGGTGCGAAGTAAAATGTCTACGGAATTGACATCTAATAACAAACTATAAAAAAAAACCTTGAAAAAGGTCATGGTCTGTTAGTTATGTTGGAGAATACGAATTAGTTCTTTCCTTCAAGGATACCCAAACAAACAACCAACAGTCCACTAGAGAAGTAGAAAGAGAGTTGTTAAATTTCATACAGACAGTTATTCTTATTACAAAAATAAGTTAAAGGAATCAGCCCGAATGAAGTGAGTGATGGTCCATCCGTGGGCATACAAAACAAAACAAAACCGGCAGCAAATTCTCACAAATCTATAGATCCATATTCTTCAGCTCCCGATTTTTCAACTTCAAAAATGCAGTATTGACAATACCGTCCTAAGAGCAATGCGAAACTCCTAGAACTACCTAGTGCCTAACATAAATCGTCTTCATAATTCTTCCTTTTTGTGAATTGGAAACTGAAATTGTTGATTATTACCGTATTTAATGCTGAAATAAACAGTTGGGGTTCGTGTTGCAAATCCCATGTCTAATCTCTCAAAACAGGTTATTCACCGGAACTTCCTACCAACTTCTGAAATGCCATTACTGATCAGTTTTTAGCCATGTATATAACAGGTTTGTACTCATAAAACACTCTTACATGAAAACTGTTTATTGTCCAAAAACGAAAATACGCATCTGAAGATGAGTAATGCAGTATAATTTACGAAATTTCAACTGTAATATGAACTTATAAAGTTAACATATGCCATTTAACAACATATTTGGTCTTCATATTCTACTACAAAAAAACACTTACATACTTATTACAGATTGTAGAACATTTATTGTCGTTGTGAGACGGGCTCATGTAACACCTACGTCATTTTTTACTTTAACAACTGCAAGGATCAAGAACTCTGGGCTGAGAAGTCGACGGCTTCTTTGCATGGCTGAACGAAGCTCCCTAGGTAGTCTTGGTTCCGATAAACGTCGTCTCAGATGAAGTTCAATTAGAGTTTGCCTCAGGGAACAATAAAATTTCGTCGCCTAATAGAATTTCCAGTCCCAGACCGGAACAAAAACAAAGGAATTTACAGAAGCTGTATGCATAATAGGATACCAAATAGTACAAGGCCATCTTCTCGTTCTTTAACCTGTATTGTAATTTACATACTTCCGATCTAATGCATCACCTCCCGCCTTCATGGAGTGATACAAATAATATAGAATCATATCAGGCTTCTTTGATTCTTCTACTATTTTGTTATCATACTGCAATACGAGAACGTGTTTCTTCGGTTTTAGAACTTCGACACTAAGGTTGTAGTGCAAGTGTACATAAACTTAGAAGTACCTGGCCGTGTTTTACTATTTAGAACTACATATTGAGGTATTTTTTTCTTATTTTTACGGTTCCTCCCGACATAGGTCAGTTGGCTGTTGCGCAATTCTACATCTAATTCTATTGACGTGAACCAGTGATGTGCGGTGATATTTCTGTTCGTTTAGACGAAAGCATTGAGCAGGTAGTGAGTATTTGCATCACAAAGGCATAGCATCTTCAGTCCCTACTTGTTCTGTTTAGTATTCTTGTATGTTCAGAAAGAACATCGGCCCACGAGCAACTCGTCTTTTGCAGGGACTCACCCATGATATAACAATTCCCTCAGTTCGGTATGAATATCTCAAACATTTCACGTATGGCGTAATGTATCTGCCTTTCTCGAGTCACTGGTAGAAATACTATGAAACCTCTATGTGGCTAGCAAAAACATGAACCTCTTTAGGGGCATCGTAGCACGGAAAATGTCTCTGCCAGTGCAGTCTGATGCAAATAAACCTTCGACATTTGATAGTTGGAGTTGAAAACTGATGTCAAATAGAGCTAGCCAAAAAATGCTTTGATCTCGGCTGAATCTGTGTAATTTATATATGAAGCTGTTTTTCCATATTTACTGGATATATTTTCTTATTTGTACAATCCACAATTTTGCTAATAATTTCATCGGTTATGAGAAGAGATCTGTAGTTGACAGGTACTTATCTTCCAAATTGCTTGCCACGGGTTTTAGTTAGGTTAGGTAAATGCGTAATAATATTATGTCGTCTGGTTCGACCATTTGCAGGCGCAAATTTTGACCATTTGTGCATGATTTTGTCTATAATCATAGCCTACGGATGTTAGTGGAAAGTCTGAAGAACAGTCCGAGTCCGCTCTGTACGGTGTCAAAATCGAGGTCGACCACAGGAACTTGTTCGGGTTGATCGATAACAGCGTCGTCCTCGGTATCGTCTATGGTGTATTGGTGTATTGTTCATCCGTCAATAATGAAAAAATCCATTGTGAAAGAAGTTCAAAACGTACGCGCAACTGGTATCGCCGGGTCAAATTTGAATATGAGAAGTCACGGGATCCCACCTCATAACTGAGAAAGAGTCGAATCAGAGACGAATTAAAGATGCTCTGGGTCAATTTTCACCCGATGATACCATTAAAGGATTAAATTCTTCCATATTCCTAAACGAATCCATAAAATGGAATGAACTTTGTCCGTGAATATTCTCCGAGCAAAGCGTCTCAAGTGCAGTTTTGATCTCTGCGCCCTGATTACAAATAGTGCATAGTATCCTTCACTAAAAAATAAGCCACATCCTGCTTATAATTTTTACGCATCCCTCATGTCAACAAGGGCGTGATTAGCGAACTTGTTAGTTATCTTCTCTTCTGTTATCCACAATTGACTTTCAATGATTTCCATAAACTGATGTCTCCCCTAATTCTACAAAGATTAAATTGAGCTCAAATCGCCCATCTTGTTCAACTGTTTCTTTAACCAAGACAACTTATTACAAGTGATATGGTGAATTTGGTATATTTTAGATTTCCTATCTGTTAAATCACTTTTACAGAGTTCTAGTTGCTTATAATTAGACCATACCATAAAGGGGTTTCCCATTAAAAACGTGAAACGAATTCTGTTTCTTCACGGGTAGCGTAATCCTTGATGAACGTGTGCACCTTGGCCCGTTACATCGCGCTGCTGGAAACAGCAGCAGATACTCTGGAAGGTAAATTGTCATTATAGATAGTTGATTTTGGCATTCATTAAAACACTTAGTCCTTGACTCCTGAGTTGAGTGAAGGAAGTTTTCTGACGTGAGGTATTAAGGAATTAAAAAAGATGAGATCCCTATCGTCATCAGTGATATCCTATTTTTCTAGCAATGATCTTTTCTAAATCAAAAAATGCTTTGTCCAAGTCATCTGTTTTGCTTCGAATTATGAGTTATTTTCTTTGTAATCT